CTCATCATACGGATAGCGTTCTGGTGGGAGTAGACGTGGGCTACCACAATCGGTTATTGGTGCCATTAGTACCTTGTTATGTCATATATACCCTACAGTGTCACCATTCATCATCGGAACTCCAAGTGGGAATGTTCGTGACCCCATGACACTTCGTTAGAAATTATAATTACGAGTGACCCTAAGCAGGTCACGCATATTGAGATGCTATAAAATGCATTACAGGAGTACTTCATCCAGTCGGCGACCTGCTGTGCAACAGCTGTCATCATTGGCACGTCATCAGACGGCTCTCAACGTATCCTCCTGATGATGAATCGAGGTAGAACGCACTCGGCGATATTCGACGATGTAGCCACAAATGGATGAAGGGGTCGTGTCTTCGGGAGGGTCCCATGACAGAACGCATGTGTTCCCTTGCACCAGGCTTATGTCTGGAACACTCGGTTTCCCGGGTTTCTCTGCAAAAGCACCGCAGTCACTCTTTTAAAACTCGAAATGTCGCCGTCGACTCCAACAAAGGAGTCTGTCCATCACGTAGGATCGTTTACCGACATTCCAATCGCGTTGCTGCATGCGAGTAAGAGAAGAGCTGCTCAACTCACCTCCTCTGGGCGACTGCATTTCCAGTCAACAATTGAGTTGCATCACAGACCCACTGTGGCACCAGGAGGGACACATGATTGGGAACGGGGAAGAGTTCTTCACACGTCTTCTGAGGATATGGCTTGCGCGCAGTCGATCGTGAATGAGAGAGAGAGAAGAGCTCTCTTTCTCTCTCCATGGCTCGTGTTCAAGACAACGCGGGCTGAAAATAGCCCGCAAACTTGATGTTCCCTGCATGTCAAGTCTGCTATAATGCATACACACCGTGCCAGGACGAGCCATGCCGCTAAAATTGTACTGCTTGCCTCAAAGCCACCCAATCATCGATTTCTTCCTTTTTTTTGGTTCTGACGGGTTGAGGAAGAAAGAAAAAAGAAGAAAAAAGGGAGACAGGACTAGGCATGATCCTGTTTTCCTTCAACGACCAGACGCTCATGCACACGCGTCATCACGAACTACAGCACCGCCTTTTTGTCGACCTTACCTTGGAGGAGGAATTTAAAAACACTATAACCTGTAGAGAAGATGAAAAAACTACCGCCTTGGAGGAATACGTAGCACGATGTGAAACAAGCGGAAAAAAATTGCTTGCCTATAATTATTTTTCTTCAAAAAACGAGATAATGCGTTTTGGCATGGAATGGCCCACCTGGACCTTCCCTTACATCAACACTTTGCACACCATATGGCTGATGTTTTGCTTCATGTTCCCGTGACTGCAGAGGCATATTGAAGAATAATCTCTGGATAGTACGAAGGTAAGATAAAGTTCAATACGCTGAAAATTTTCTCCTGTAAACGGTATTCAAAGTGTGTACTTAGGCATTCACGGCCGCACTTCGCCTTTATACAACTAAACGACGTTTAATGATTCCATTTCAAAGAACCCGGTGATACTGTGTAACGCTGCCCTTCGCAGTATATAACGCATCTGACATCTAACGTAAAAGTCTTCGCATTCATCGCTTCCGCTAGAAGAGGTCTCAGCACCAGTAACAGTCATGTTCATTGAAGATAATCAGACCTGAGAGCACACATGGAAACAAAAAACCTAGCTCCGAGAGTGTGAGAAAGGAACGATATCGTTCCTCGCATGGTTCTTTTGTTTGGGAGAAAACAGCAACTCGTTTCCATCATAACAAGAGGTCCAAAACCTTTAGGTGCTAAATATTGATACTTTAAGATAACAACATTGCGTGGGATGACGCGATCAAAGGTAAGGTTACGACACAGGAAGCAAAAGTCGATTGCGGAAACATGACATTGAAATCCCTGGGATTGAAAAGCACTATAGGGTAACTTGGGGGAATATGGCCATTGGGGTAATATGGCCCTTCACAAGGAATCCCCTTATAGACTGAATAATTAGTTTGGGCGAATTTAAAAAATAGTTCTATCGAAGAGTACATGCAATTGTCGAAATGTGTAGACCTGTTCATCAATCCAGTTCCCACAGGAATTCGGGATACATCGATGTCTTAAAAGTCATATGCATACGATTCTTTGACTCATGACCGTGGAACTAATATGAGCCTTGAGCAACATAAGCGTATATTTCCTAATAGCAGCATGGATACAGAAACCATTACTTCTAAGTTCTTCTATGGTCTCTCCAGAATGCTTGTGCAAAGTGCTAGCCCCTTCACTTGCGGTTTGTAGGCAGTGTTGTCAATTTT